GATATGGACAACACTCTTTACAAAAGAATCGTGGGCAGTTTAATGTACTTGACAGCCACACGACCGGATATAATGCATGTTGTTTCTTTAATCAGTAGATATATGGAACGTCCAAGGGAGGCACATCTTCTTGCTGCTAAAAGAATTCTCAGGTACCTTCAAGGTACTAAGAATTTTGGTTTGTTCTATAAGAAAGGAGAAAGGACAGATCTATGTGGGTTTAGTGACAGTGATTATGCAAGAGATGTGGATGATCGAAAGAGTACTACGGGATACGTATTTATGTTTGGTTCTGCTGTTGTTTCATGGTCTTCTAAGAAGCAACCAATCGTCACTTTGTCAACAACTGAAGCTGAATTTGTAGCTCTGACAGCATGTGCTTGCCAAGCCATTTGGCTCAAGAGAGTTCTTGAAGAACTGCACTTTAAGCAAGAGGGGGCAGCAGTGATTTATTGTGATAATAATTCTACCATCAAACTCTCTAAAAATCCTGTTTTATATGGAAGAACCAAGCACATAGATGTGTGATTCCATTTTCTAAGGGATTACACAAAGGAAGGTATAATCGATATCTTCTACTGCAGGAGTGAAGATCAGATCGCAGATATAATGACCAAGCCATTTAAGCTGCCTACATTTTTAAAGCTCAGGAAGTTACTCGGAGTCTGCCCACTAAATGAGACTTAGTGAATTGAAGCTGAAGGGTTTCAGTTCAAGGGAGGAATTGTTAATTTAATTTAATTATTTGTTTTTTAGTATGTTTAAAATAAAACTTAGTCCTTACATGTGTTGTTAGTGTTGTTAGTTTGTTTAGTGGGTAGCTTGTTTTTAGGAATTTTAAGTTAGTGGCTTTGTTGAACTGTTTTGCTGTAATGCCTATTTATAAGGCTATCTATTTTCAATAATAAAACAACCTCTCCAATTCAGTTATTAACTCTTATCACATTTAACCACTCCACACATTTTTCAACAACAATCATTTTTTTATCATAGATGGAATACAGAGCCAGAAAATGATCCTTCAAAGGCTGGTTGTCAATCTAATTCACATTCCAAAGCGGAACCAATGACCCTTCTCCAATTTTACACGACAACAAGCCATCAAAACCAACATTCGCAATCGACCCTCCAAGCATCATGACATCTCTCCACCATAATGAGGATAACCTACTAGGGAAGTCCACTTTATTCAGCAAAATTGATTTAAAAATCCATCCAAACCTGAAGCCAAGCAACTTCCTCCATATTGCACCCGGTTCTTGAACCATACGCCACAACCACTTCGACATTAACGCAAATTGAAAACAACAATACACTTAAAACCTAATCCTCATTATACTTTAGGTTTGCAAACGTTGGACCATTGAGCCCAGGCCATAACAGAAGACACGGCGAATCCTTCTTAGAGAAAATTTCTTTGGATTGTTGCCAGAAGCTTGTCAACCTTAGACGGAGCCTTAAAGAATGCTAGGTGATGAAAAGGAAGATTAGTAAGAACTGAGTTGATCAATGTAACCCTTCCGCCTATTAATAGAAGCTTTTCTTTCCAGGTAGATAGTTTCGCCTTAAAGCAATCCACAACCGACTTCCAAAACTCAACCCTCCTATGGTTCCCTCCAACCATAATACCAAGGAATTTAAAAGGTAATTTACCCGTTTTGCAAGCTATAAACTGGGCAGCCGCATCCATAAAATTAGCCTCAACCCCCACTCCAAAAAAGACGAATTTTCCAAAAATTATTTCTCAAACTTAAAACCAATTCAAACCCTCGTAAGATTGCTTTAATCCCCCAATAATTAGAACAAGAGACATCGCAAACCAAAACCGTGTCGTCAGTAAATTGGACTAGACTTATCACATCTTCTCCGCTAAGCTTGAAACCACTAAACGCATTCTTATAAATAACTATCCTAACAAATATTGGAAGTTAACAAATATTGCAATAACTTCCGCCATAATTGCAAATAACGTAGGCGATAAAGGATTACCTTGACGAAGTCCCCACGAAGCCTTAAAGTCCTTTGTTGCACTACCATTCACCAAAACTGACAAATAATTCTCAAACACTTCACCCCTAATCAAATTTAACCACTTGTAACCAAAGTTCATATCCCTCAAAATACTTTCCAAAAATTCCCACTCCATGCAGTCATACGCTTGTGCGAAGTCCACCCTAAACAATAAACAACTTCTACTCTTCCTTTTGGCAAGATCCAAAAGCTCATTCACGATTAGAACACCATACAATAGTTATCGCCCAGCTATAAAAGTAGACTGCAAACTCGATATTAACCTACCAATAACAGTCACAAGCCTTTCTACCATAATCTTGGAGATAACTTTGTAAATGCACCCAACCAGGCTAATAAGTCGGTATTCATTCAAACATTGCGGATTAATGATTTTAGGTATCAAGGTAATGAAGGATGAGCAAAGAGATTTTGGAAGGGTAGCAGTAGAGATAAATTCTTGGATATAATTTGTAACCTTAACTCCAACGACATCCCAATAGCGTTTCAAGAATTCGATATTGAAGCCATCGGGTCACGAGCTTTTATTCTCGTCACCTTCGTTTATCACCTCCAAAGTCTCTTCTGTTGTAAAAGGATGTTGTAACATTTCTGCTTCCTCTTCCGTGAGCTTAGGAATATCAGATAGATTAAAATTTGGGGACCTAGTGCTTGATTTCAAGAATCTGTCTAAAGAAACTCTTTAATAGCAGTTTTTACACTACTGACATCCTCAATCAGTGCAGTACCGACCTTGAAAGCTGATATGTAATTACTCCTAAACCGAGCCTTCACATACTGCGGAAATCGCGAGAATTTACATCATCTTCCTTAATCTATTTCGATCTAGATTTTTGTTTCAACATACTCTCTTTTGGGATTAGATTGTTCCAAACATCATCTTGTGCTATACTCCTAAGAGATAACTCTACCTATGATGCCTCACAACTAGCAGCTGCCATGCCATCTTCAATATCACTTAAGATATCTGTACCTTCCTCACTTCTCAAAACAACCCATCTGAACACATTGCGATCCCACCAGTGTTACCTATCCCTCAATGATTTTAAGTTATCCACATGAATCATCCCATGACTACCCGCAACATAAGCCCCACTCCACACTTCTTTAATAAACTCCATAAATTTAAGATGATTGTACCATCACCTAAACACTTTGAAAGGTTTCGGCCCCTAGTCGTTCTTATTTGATTTCAATCAGATTGGTCTATGATCCAGAATGTCACGATCGCCCTCAAACTGGTCCATTAACCTCCACTACCTAATCAAACCCTTTGAAATAAGAAATCTACCAAATTTACTCTTGCACCCTCCGTTGGAATTAAACCATGAAAATATATTCTCAACAACAGGTAAATCCACCAGCTTAATGACATCAATGAATGTGGAGAAATCTTTTAATTTCGATACATTTGGTTTACCTTTATCTCTCCTCTCTTCCACCAATTTAATGGCATGGAAGTCCCCCTACAACCCATTCCCCAGCTGGTAGTTTTCATTTCCTCTCGATAAGGTCTGACCAAAGCTTTCTCTTTGCCAAAAAATTACATGGCGAGTACACATTAACAAGGTAGAAATTACTACCTTTCTAAGAACAGTTAAGAACCAAATAACCAACACATATAAAAATGAAATTCAGGCTACATACACTATTTTTTCAAATTGGGAGGATACCCCTGGACCTACCTAGAGCTGCCTCTTCAGACCATTTGCAGTTATCATCACCCCAAATACTTCTTATCATCGCATCATCCACGAAATGTAGCTTAGACTCTTGAATGAAACAAACATCTACTTTCTTTTCTAACAACAATTTTTGGATCCTCCTCCTTTTAACAGAAGATCCACACCCTCTTGTGTTATATGAAACCACATTCATAGTCCCCTCGATTCAGCCTCCTTCTTTCCAGCAATTAATTGCATATCCCTGGATTTCATCTCCCTTATTATCCCTTCCAACAATTCATTGTCATCTTCCCAATCTACTCCGAAATCCTTAATGATCTGCCAAACGTTTACAAGCACACAATCCAAAGATTTTCTTATCCGAGAATTTCCTTGAATTACGTCCGTGTCACTAATAGATTCGCAACATAATATAGATCCACCTGAGTATCTTAAACCTGCTTCCCCATCCACTAAATCCTTACTCACGATACTTTCAGATTTATCCCAAGTTTCAACAAATACCTTTTTTTTCCTAACACTCCACCTTCATCAATGTGTGCTACGTAGCTTCCATAGCACTGAGCACCTGTCCTTGCTGCAAACCTACAACAATGACCCTCTGTTTCCCATCAGCTACTAGACACGTGGCTCATAGACTTATGGCTAGAATCAATATTCAGAGACCTTTCATCATTTGGATTAGGTTCCAAACTTTCTCTTTCTTTCCCATCATCAGAAGTATGGCTTCCTTCTTCATCCCCACCTGAATCATCATCCCCTTCTGAATCTAAAACCATCGTGTCACTATCCTCATCCTAGCCTTTACGAGCACAAATATGTTTCGGCCCATGAAGATCTTCAACCAATTTAATCCTTAAAATGTTGTTGTTGATTTCCACATTGAATGTTTTGTTTAGACACATTGAATACTTTGTTCTAACCAACAATTGAGCAACATCACACTCTACAAATTCTCCGACACAACCACACCCACGCATGGCAAGGAAATCCAAAGTACTTCAACCATGTTAGTCTTTCATTATCAATATCCAAAGGGGTCCATGGATGAATGTCATCAAACCACTATTTCACCCACATTTCATCTTCCCTAACCATAAAGCTAACGTCACCATTTGTTTCTTCTTTCAACAAACACAAATTTGCTCCTAGAGGAGTCGCTTTAATCATGAAATAGCCTTCAGAATTCAAGGCTTCTTGGATATTATATGTTTCACCAACGTTTTTCACAACACCAACGGATGCTTTCCTAAATATCTCTATCTCACAATCATCAAAATTGTACTAAAGAAGGGAAAAGCTTGGCTTTTCCGCCCTACCCACTCTCACGTCATCACCAGCCTGCTTGTTGCCAACCACATAGGCGAACGATTTGCCATGAGCTTTATTATTCCAACCTTTCGTGTGCTTCTTATCACCCTTACGACCCACCAGACCACTATTTACTGCATTGGGTTTCACTGTATCCCTACCACATTTAAACCTTTGTATGTCGGCATATATCTTTTTACCAAGAATTTGGATGCTATTCAGTTTGACAGCCATAATTCTAGCATCTATAACTTTTCTAAACCGGATGAAACCATACCTCATACCCCTTTTGTCCATCATCGCTGGAATGTAGACTTCCAAGATCAGCCCATAATCCTTAAAGACGCCAAACATGTCCTTAGCCCCATAGCATTAGGAAAGTTAGTAAATAAAAAAGAGGTAATCACTTCCTCCCCTCCAATCGCTTTTCCATTTCTTTTAACACAAATCGATCCTTTTATTCATGAGAAGTTACTTTTCCTACATCTAACTTCCACCCAATTCTTATCTTTCTCACCCATCACAAATCCTAGAAAAGACGATTTTCACACCACAACCAACAACACAGAGAAGGTTGAGAAGGTCCATAGTTTAAGGACTAGGAGTTTAAACTAGCCTGAACAGCGATCATACTTTTTTACTGTCACCGTTATGCATGCAGAGTTATGAAAAATCCTTATGTTGTAAAAGTAACTTCTTAGTGTATGAGCACTCTACTTTATGAGTTGAAAAACAATTTTCCATTGTTTTACCCGTTATTAATGTGTAATACCCAACCTACTTAATGTTTATCTTCTTCCTCATCTCCACAATGAACTGATAGATCTTATCCTGATCAGGAATAGGCTTTGAAATGCTCTCAATCTTGATACATCTCTTAGCCCATCCAATGAATTTGGGATAATCCTTCTTTATATTGAGTTTACCAAATGTCTCATACCCTTTAAACCAAGCATATAATGGAATAAGTGCAATTTTCACAAAACCAAGCTTGTCTCCTCCAAAATAACTCATGTCTCCTAATTATTGCTCCAACCGTTTGAGGACTTCTATGAATTCCTTCTTTTCAACTTCTAGCTTTTCTCCTTTTTTATGTCAAAAGGTTCCTTCACCATAAATCTAATTCACAATGAAAGTTCTTCTTCATTTTCATAGATCTAATTCACAATGAAAGTGTAAAATATAAATAAACTTTTTTTATAACTTCACCATAATAAATTAGAAAAACGGTAAAACATAATAAGAATGTAATAAATAGTTTTCTAAGATTTTCCCAAAGTGAGTGTGTTTCAGCCATGAGAGATTCACATAAATGAGTATTTTTCAAAACTGGATATTTTCCAATAGATTTTCTAAGATTTTCCAAACCTCGTCAATAATTTGAAGAGCAACAAGAGATTCACAAATGGGTTTGTCAATTGTGAATGAGAATAAGAATTTTCTTATGAATAGGGTTCATCTATAACAACAAAGGGTTTTTATTTATAAAATCTTCATCTTTGTACTTATACTTACTACCCTTTTCAGCAAGGGCTATTCCGAGCCTTATCCCGAACAGACTTGGCCAGAAATCTAGAAAAATCACTTCATCGGTCATGGTTGTAGTTAGAGAATAACAAAGGAAGAAGAATAAAATTTTACTTTTTAGAAGAAGAAATGAGTGGTTGTGATAAAATAAATAAATTTCGTTGTGTAAAGTGTTGACTATTTAACTTAATGTTCACTATACTAATTGCATATCTGACATGCCACCTTTGCTATACTTAATGTTTTTAACCCAAACTAACGGAATGAACTAAATAGTTTAACCGTAACGAAATTAAGAAACCACTGTATAATATTTTTTAAATCAGAATGTAAAGCGAAACTTCACTTAAAGTTAAAGGACTTATGAATAAATTATGCTTAAATTGAAACTAACATTACCCGGAGAACCAAACCAAATTAGAACTACATTGTCACACATCTTAAAACAATATAAACTATTTTAATGCAAGAGTTGAAATTAAGACAAAAAGGATGGGAGTTGATGTCTCTTATGATAATATCGTCTTTAAAAGGAATAATCATTTAAATAATTTTTCTTATTCAAGTTTTTTGGTCTAAGAGTAACTTTTGTTTTCTATAACAACCACCCCCAAAACTTTTTAGATTGTATTTTTTTTTTTTTGGAATTAGTTGCTCTATTTTGTTTCTCATGACATTTGATTTTATAATTTGACGATGTTATACTATAAGTCCCATGTCTTTTAGTGATATACGTAATTTGATCATTTTCATGAAGATTTAATATTGGACTTTTTATTTAAAGCCAGCATGTTCATTGGTAAAAAATAATGGCATAAATAACAAAGTCCTAATATTTGTTTCCCTCCAATAACCAATTATCCTTCCATACTCTTCAAGTTTTAGCAACAACAATCTTTCTTTAAAATCCATCTAGCATAAGGATGCTCCTCTAAATGTAGCTAGGAGACCATGCAATCTTAGCCTTAAGAAAGTTATCATTTGGGAAGTGTTAAAGTGTTTACTTTTTTTCACATGAATACTCTTATTTCTAGTAGATATATCAATTTACTAGAAAATATTATTTTTAAAAAAGTTAGTGTATTATGTTTTACCGTTACTAGTTTTAATAAAATAAATTATCAAAGACTTTGTAATTATCGTCTAAATCAGAGATTTACATAAACGACATAAACACCATAAGAGTATGGGAATATATCATTTCATCTTAGGTTGCATGACATAACTTCTAGTTTACATCACTATTAGAAAAAAGACATTTGGAAAAATAATTTTTATCTAGTATTCACTCGAACCGATTTAAAATCTAAAAATATTAACACGGTAGCAGTATCGTAAATAATAAAAAAAATTTATTAAATTTTTTACATCGGGCCAATTAATTAACCGATGTAAAACATTGAAAAAAAATATTAAAAAAAAATTTAAAAATGAGATTTCAAATCGGTTTTTATATCCACCGATCTAAAAAGTAATAATTAAAAAATTAATAATTTGGTTTTTAAATCGGTTTACAAATCCACCGATCTAAAAAGTAATAATTAAAAAATTAATAATTTGGTTTTTAAATCGGTTAATTAATTCACCGATCTAAAAAGTAATAATTAAAAAATTAATAATTTGATTTTTAAATCGGTTAATTAATTCACCGATCTAAAAAGTAATAATTAAAAAATTAATAATTTGGTTTTTAAATCGGGTTTAAGCTCCACCGATCTAAAATGTTAATAGCGAATTGGATTTTAAATCGGTTTTCCATTCCACCGATTTAAAAAGTTCTGAACATTTAAAATCCAAAATCTCAAATACTATTTCTTCACCAAAATCTGCTCATTTCTAATAAACCCACGACGAACCGTTTTCGCTGTTCTCTCTCTCTCCTTCGTTCGCCATTCTCTCTATCACCATCCGCCGTTCGCCGTTTGCAGTTCTCTCTCTCCCTCCGCCGTTCGCATTTCTCTCTCTCCCTCCGCCGTTCGCAGTTCTCTCTCCGCCATTCGCTGTTCCGCTTCCGATAACGACATACCACCACGCGAACACGGTTCTGAATCCGACATTATTATCAGGTTCAATTCTCCTTCATTTTTATTCATTTTTGTCTATGTTCTTTCATATTTTATTCTTATATACGTTAAAAGTTAGGGTTAGTTCAAGATTAAATTGTTGAAATGGTTGATTCTGTTGTTGTTGTCGTCTGAGATTAAATTGTTGAAATGGTTGATACAATGTTTAATAGTTAACTTTAAGGAATCGATTCGTATTTTACGAAAAATATAAGGGTAGATGTGAACTTTAAGGAATCGAAAATTGCCAACAACATCGATGTTGGCACTGGCAGAGTTAAGCTTCCATGTAAAAACACAGTGGCAGTGAGAAAAAACTGTTTCTTCTTTTAAGTTTTTCTTTAGAACAATGAATAGTAAGTATTAAAAGTATTCCGTAAAAAAAGTATTAAAATTATTCAGTCAAAAATAAAGTATATATAATTTAATTTAAAGTTTTTCATCGTATATTATAGTAAAACATATGCTACACCACCTAACGCTTGAAAGTTACTAATAGCTAAAGAATCAATTAAATCAAAAGTTTTTTAATTTTGTTTAATTCTAGTTTTATACAGAGATGGATCTGATAGAAAATCACAAAATCATTGGTAGAAAGAGAAAATCATGATCAGAATCTTAATATATACTCTATGATCACAACAGATTCAAGATCCATTATCATGAAGAGTTCTAAGAGAAATTTACAAGTAGAAAATTCCTTATTAAGAGAAGTTCAATTAGAAGATCCAAAAAATTCTCTGATTTTGTGCAGGAACTTATCTAGTATATCTTGACCAAACAAGAAATAGACATACCCAAAATTATATCAGACAAGATTTTGGCCATAGTACATTCAACTTTCAAACCTCCTCTAGCATTTTTGGGTTAATCACTGGACTTTATAGAATATATGAAGTTGATTTCTCAGACTAGTACCATCTTCACATTAGTTAAAAATTAGAAAAAAGTTTTATTTTCAACTACTGAATAGAAGTGACCCATAAAGCTGAACCCATAAATAAAATTAAGAGCTAATAAATAATTAGCAAACAAAATTATAATTAAGAAAATCAACACTTGAAAAGTAACTCGCGGAATTTATAAAATTAAAAAAATTAATATGTTAGAAAATATTATCAATCAAAAATTTAGAGAAATAAATAATAATGAAAAGGTTACTAAAAATGTATATATATATATATATATATATATATATATATATATATATATATATATATATATATATATATATATATATATATATATATATATATATATATATATATATATATATATATATATATATATATATATATATATATATATATATATATATATATATATGTATGTATTAAACAATATAAATTAAAATTTATACTAAATTAATTAAGAAAAACATTGATTATAAACAACAATACCATATTAATAAATAAAATGTCACATCTGTTAAGTGATGATGTTATATAGCTGCTTAAACATATTTTGTATGCTTATCAATAATATGATATTAATAAATAAAATGTTATATATATAATTATTTTAGTATTTAATTTTTTAAAAAATAATTTAGTCTATATAATTGCAAATAAAAGAGGCGTCTCATGGAATTATTTACCAGTAGTAATTTATGTAAAAGTTGCGAGTAATTAGTGGTGTCTCATGGAATAAAAATTGATTTTTCGTTTCTCGCAGGATTTGTGTCCCTCTTTTTCTCTTAACCGCGAGTCATCCGGCCGCCACGTAATTGCAGGTTCTGTTTTCATTCTTTATAACTTCTCAAAT